CGGGGCGAGGCGGGGTGGTAGTGATGGATGAGGGCGCCAGGGAGCCCCAGGGCCGGGCCATCGCTCAGCGAGCATCCCGATAGTATTGCAGTGCAGCGTCGGTGCATACCGGAAGTGCAAAGCATACTGGAAGTTCAAAGCATACCGGAAGTGCAACTTATATCGGAAGTGAAGCACGTACTTCAAGTGCAGGTCATACCGGCGTTGCAACTTTACGAGTGCAACTTACACCGGAAGTTGCACCTCTGCTACCGGAAGTGCATACGGAGTTCCGCGGTGGCGACAGGTGGTGCACCGGGCGGTGCTCGTGGAGGAGGAGGGCGAGCTGGTGAGCTGGTGCAGGTGTGCAGCGCCGCGGAGGCCCGATGCTGTGACGGGGAGCCCCCGCTCGCGCGCCCCGCCGTCCCCCGCGCGACTCCCTCCCAGTGGGGCGGACGGACAGTCCCGTGGCCTTCCATCCATCAGCCAGCCCTGGCCAGAGGCCCTGGGCCCCGGTGGCCCAGTGGGGGCCCGACCCACCACCAGGACGCCGCCAGTGACGTGCTGTTGTCCGACGCGCAATATCGCGGGCCAAACCACGTGTTGGCCGAGAGGCTGCGGCAGGTCCGGCTGCATACAGTGTCTGTGGTCCGTGGTATCAATAAGGCTTTCTCAAGGGTTTTCTTCACTTCCCCGCCATCGTTCGAAATCACAATGCGTCTCTCACAGGATTTTCTACATCTATCGAAATTATGAAAAAGGGGAGGGGGAGGAGGAAACGCAAAAATAATAAGTTGTCAGAGCAAAACAAAAAAAGAGTCTATTGAGCTCTTGAAAAATCATGTTTTATTTTAAATTATTTTTTGTTGCTTTATGTTCACTATTGGGATGGGCTGGCGTCCTACTGATGAACAAACAAGGGACATAATTTGCGAGCGCTGAGACTACTCCAGCCGGCGCAGACCCCGGCGCCCCCGGCTGCTGACCTGGCCGCCCCTGCACACTGGCGTTGCACGCCGCCCCCGCGCCGCCCCCGGGCGTGCAGCCCCCCCCCTCCCGGACCGCCCCCGCACCTACTGTTCTTTGGACAGCAGAGCGAGAGGGCGCGCGCGACCGACGCAGAGGGAGAGAGCGGGAAGAGTTTTTCAGATTTTTGTTTGAAAGCGTGTCGAGGGCGGTGTGCTCATTGCCGCCGCGCCACTCCACCGCGACAGTCGTGTCGTACTGCTTCGTGCTCAAGGAGGGCCGGACGCTTGCAGCAGCAGCAGCAGCAGAAGGAGGGGGTTGGGGCGCACGGTGCATGTCGTCGAGTGGAGCCAATAGCAGTGCTGCTCTCTAGTGGCTGCGCCTTGAAACCACCGCCGAGGGCGAAGAGGGTGTTCGCTCTGAGGGGCAGTGTCATTCATGGTGCTGCTGCTACTGCTGCTTTTTCGCTTTTTCGCTTTTGCGACGCGAATGATAATAATAATTCGCATGTTGGCCTCAAATGCGGCACTTACTCAATGATCGCATTGGAGCGCCGCCCGCCGCGAAGGGGTGCAGAGAAAAGCTGCGCAGCGCAGCGGCAGCAGCGTGAAAGGCAAGAGACGTTTCATTCACACTAACTTGCTCACAAATCAAGCTGAAAAGTACACCACGCCTCTCCGGTACGGCTCTGGTGTGGTGCGCGGGGCTGCCGTTGTCCTCACTACACGCCTCTATCTCATTTGTAGAGCGCCAGCTCCCCTCCCCTCCGCCTCGCGCTGCGTTTTCTATCGCATTCAATTCATTCGTGTTTACAGCGCTCGCGTTAATGCTTTTTATCCTCGGTATAATTCAGCCCAGCCCAGTCGCTGTCGCTACTTTTCACTTTTTATTTTATTTATTTATCTTTTTTCGCGTGGGGGCGCTCGCGCGCGCCTTCTGTACGAACGGCTATAACTTAGCGTATATACATTTCTCTCGATGCAGCTCTCTCGCACTCTCTCTCTGGCGTCGCCGCCTGTGAGTTGCCTCCCTCCCTCTCCGTTCATCTCATTTGACTCTGGCACTAACGCTGCTCTCTGCAGCGCTTTCGTCTGAATGTCCTACCCCACCTATGTCGCTTGTTTGTCACTCTGTTTGACCGCGTCGCGTTGGCGGTTGGAGGACTTTCCAATCGTCGGTGTTTTCCAGTCTGCCGGGGGAGAGATGGTCGGCGTGGGCGGGGCTGTCCCTGGCGCCAGGGGCGGTGGGTGAAGGGGCGCTTAGGTGCTGTGTGAGAAGTCGGCGGACGGCCGAGCAGTCAGTCAAGTCACATCACTCCACAAGATCAGATCGGTCGGTACGTGCTAGCGTCGAGCAGATTGTAGTTTTTACAATCGTGTGTCGTGTGGAACGGGTGATTCAGAGAAGACGCAGGTGCGGGCGGACTTCAGTGCACAGTGCAGTCCAGTCCAGTCAAAGCAGTCCACGAGATCTGATCGGTAAGGGCAAAGGCGAAGCAGCTGAAGGTTTCTGGAAATCACGGTGTAAACGTGTACGTGTGTGAGTGTGCGCGCGTAGGGGGAGGGGAGAAGTTCGGAAAACCGCAACAGGATCGGTACCTCTGAACGAACGGTACTGAATTCAACTACCGGCACTTTTTCCGTACATTTTTCGTACCTGCAGCTTCATTCACATGGCCTTATGAGAAAGAGGGTACGGAAAAGAAGAACAATGAGCACGTTAATTAATTAAACGATTATTCTCGTCTAGGTAACCGTGTTTTTTTTAGAAGTGTGTGTGAGTGTGTGTGCATGTGTGTGCGTGCGTGCGTATTTGTTTTCCGTTCAACTTGTATCTTTAGAGCTATGTCTTTTTTGCGCACACTTTCGTGCATCTGATATGCATTTAAGTACAATCCAATTTGTGTTCAAAACTGTTTAAAGTTAGTAAGAAAACCTTCTCTTTTTCCAGAGTCTGTTGGCGTCTAACTTCTGTCCCCAGTCGCCATGGCCGATCAGCTCGCCGGTCAGTGCGCGGTCTGCAACAAGACCTTTTCGAAGGATCATACGGTCTCACACATGAGGGTGCATAGTGGTGATATGCCGTTCGAGTGTACTGTGTGTAGCAAGAAATTCAAGACCAAACCTATCTTCAGCCTACATCTCCGTACCCACACCGGAGAGAAACCGTTTGAGTGTACTGTGTGCAAAAAGACGTTTTCGCAATGGGGCCATCTACAAATACACCACCGGATCCACAGAGGAGAGAAGCCGTTTGAGTGTACTGTGTGCGACAAGAAGTATTTTACTGGTCAAGGTCTGCGTACTCATCTCCGAACCCATACAGGAGAGAAACCATTCGAGTGTGCTGTTTGCAACAAGACGTTTTCGGATGGTAGAAATTTACGTTCACATCTCCTAAGAAACCATATAGGGGACAAACCTTTCAAGGGTACTTGTTCTGACCAGAAATTTGCCATGAAAGAACGTCTAAGTGAACGTGTGCGAACCCGCCACACAGATGATACGAAATCTCAGTGTGGAGTTTGTGGTAAGAGGGTCAACAAGCACTTCCTAACTGTTCACATGAGGACTCATAGTGGAGAAATGCCTTTTGAGTGCAGTTTCTGCAATAAACGATTTAGTCAAAAAAACAATATGCGAACACACTTACGTATGCACACTGGAGAAAAACCTTTTGAGTGCACTGTGTGCAATGTGAAATTTCGCCACACAACTTGCTTGCGGAAACATCTCCGAGATCATACAGGTGACAAGTCCGTGGAGGTTGCTACCTGCGCCGTGTGTAACAAGACATTTTCTAACAGTTCAACTTTACGTTCACATGTACTTGTGCAACATTCCGGAGAGAAACCCTTTGAATGTACTGTGTGCCACAAACGTTTCGGAAGACCTGATTATCTACGCAATCACCTCTTTGTTCACACAGGAGAGAAGCCTTATGAGTGCCCTGTGTGCAAGAAGACTTTTAAGGGACATCTGGAAATTCACATGCGCACCCACACAGGAGAAAAACCATACGAGTGTACCGTGTGCGGTAAGAAATGCTCTCAAAAGTCACATTTAACCGTGCATCTCCGCACCCACACAGGAGAGAAACCCTTCGAGTGTACCGTGTGCAGCAAGAAGTTTAATTCGCCGCAGACTCTACGTTCTCATCTACGAACTCATATAAACCAGAAACCTTTTAAATGTGGCGAGTGCAACAAAATGTTCCGACATAAAAGCTCCCTACGTTCTCATCAGGTAACACACACAGGAGAGAGAGCTTTCAAGTGCCACATGTGCAATGCATCGTTCACGCTACGTCAAAGTCTTCGTGTTCATCTTCGCCTTCACACTGGAGAGAAGCCTCACAAGTGCGCTGTTTGCAACGACTCGTTTGTGCGAATCGATTATCTTCGTAACCATATCCGAAAAGCCCATACAAGAGAGGAGACAGAGAAGTCTTTTGACTGTTCAATGTGCGATAAGAGTTTTTGTGAAAGTAGGTCTCTGCGTAAGCATGTCCTTACTCACACTGGAGAGAAATTGTTTCGGTGCACTGTGTGCAACAGAAGGTTTTCGCAAAGTGAAAATCTGTACAAACATCTAAATAATCACATTCTCCAGTCTTCGAAGAGGACAATTGATTGAAATGTTAAATGTTAGTTTATTTATATTGCATTATTATGTTTCTGCACAACTTATAGATTTTAAACTCCAAAATTGGGTTGGTGCACGTTCTAGATTTCTTGATAGTTTCATAGCTTTTAGTTAAGTTTCATACCTCTTTAAATCCTAATTATAACTGCAAAACTTTTCAATTAAAATTGTTCGAAAGATTAATAAGACTTTGATCAAACACAAAATGTCAAGTGTTTACTTTTTTTGTCAAAATAAATGTACATAGAAACTTAAATTTTTGGGTTTGACACGATTCTTTTTATCTGCCGCACATACGATGAATACTGTGCGGAGGAGTCTGAATTATCTCCCGGTAGCATCACCCCTTCCTGAAAAAGCTGGCAGCTCTGTGTCCTACAGTGTCGACCTGAATATGTTGTACGGCAGAGATGAAGAGAGAGAGAGAGAGAGAGAGAGAGGGGGGCTATAGGGGCTATATATCGATTCATGAGGTTAATGATGGCAGCCGTGAGCCGTCACTCGACCTCGGACCGCAGGTCGTCCCCGTGCAACACAGCTTGTGGGGGGGGGGGGGAAGGGGGGAGTAGGGGTCGTGCAAAAAAACACGCTGCTGGAGCAGCTAAGCTAAACTCTCGCACTAATTCCGTCACCTACCCCCCCCCCCCCCCCCCCCCCCCCCCCCCCCCTCTCCCTTGTCTCCGTTCATCTAAAATGAACAAGGCTCGGGCGATAGACGCCGAAATGAAATGTCGATGTTTTGCAGAACGTGCGATTTGGTTGCGTTTGCATTCTGATGTCCGAGCGTCGAACACCGCGCTTTGTCAGCCTTAGCGACGGGGCGCGACGGGAACACAACGGACACTGCATGAGAGCAGCGCAGCGGCGCGGGGGTTATTTCTCTTCACGGTCCAGGCGTACTTGCAGGTGTATTACTTACAGCTACAGCAGCGAAGGCAGTGGTTGTCTCCTAATTACCTGTGACAGTGTTACCCCCCCCCCCCTCTTCCCCTCTTTGCAGTGACACTCATTCAGGTCCAAAGTGTGCAGGTGTTATAACAAAACCCACTTAAATCGCGTCAACGATGTGTCATTTTTAGACAGTACCCCAAAGCCTGTCTCGACCAGAAGGAAAAGTCTCCTCCCCTCCTTCTTCCTAAATGTAGCACAGGGCGCGCTTCACAGCGGCGGCGACGGCCGTGGGTGTTCGGCAGACCACGCGCCACCACGCCACGGAGCTGTACGAAAACCTCCTCGTGGCCTGGTCGGGGGGACTGTCTCTTTCTTAGCCCTGTGGGCTAACTTTTTCCTCCATGCGAATGCATATTCTAGATGTGGTCTTCAACTTTGGTCAAATTCGAGAGTCACGTGTTAATTTCGATTCCTTTTCGGGGGCGCCCCGCTGCAGTCGCGGCCACTTCCTCTCCTTCCCATGTTTGTCGCTTGTTGTTCACGCTGTTTGGCCGTCATGGACGGGGTACTTTCCTATCGTCGTTGAGACGGTGTTTTCCAGTCCGGCCGGAGAGGGGCGGGCGGCCGGCACGGGCAGGGCGGGGCTGCACCCTGGAGCCGGCCGGCGGGCGCGGGGCGTAAAGGGGCGCTTGAGTGCTGTGTGAGAGGTCGGCGGAGTGCAGTCAGCCAGTCCAGTCAGATCAGAGCAGTCCACGAGATCAGATCGGTAAGGGCAGGGGCCGAGCAGCTGTAGAGTTTTCTTTAAACCACAATGTGAACGTCGTGTGCGTATGCCGTGCGCGTTTGTTTGTACGTCTGTGTGTGTGTGTGTGTGTGTGTGTGTGTGTGTGTGTGCGTGTGTAAGTGTGCTAACGTTTGAGTGCGTGTGTGTGCGTGTGTGCCTGGGCGCATCTGTTTTCCGATCCACTCGTACCTTTACAGAGCAAGGTCTTTTTTATTTTGCGCACACTCCTTACTTTTGTGCATGCTCGTTGGCAGATTTAAACATTTAAAGTACAAACCAATTTCTGTGCAAAATTGTACAAAAGTTAGTAAGAAAACCTTCTCTTTTTCCCAGAGTCTGCTGTTGGCGTCTAATTTCTGTCACCAGTCGCCATGGCCGGTCAGTGTGCGGTCTGCAACAAGACCTTTTCGAAGGATCATACGGTCTCACACATGAGGGTGCATAGTGGTGATATGCCGTTCGAGTGCACTGTATGCAGCAAGAAATTCAAGACCAAATCCAAATTTAGCTTACATCTCCGTACTCACACAGGAGAGAAACCATTCGAGTGTGCTGTTTGCAACAAGACCTTTTCGGATGGTGGTGGTTTACGTTCACATCTCCGAAGAACCCATACAGGAGACAAACCTTTCAATAAGGGTACTTGTTCTGACCAGAAATTTGCGATCAAAGGACGTGTGCGAACCTGCCACACAGATGATACGAAATCTCAGTGTGGAGTTTGTGGTAAGAGGATCTCCAAGTACTTCCTAACTGTTCACATTAGGACACATAGTGGAGAAATGCCTTTTGAGTGCAGTTTCTGCAATAAACGATTTAGTCAAAAAACTAATATGCGAACGCACCTACGTGTACACACTGAAGAAAGACCTTTTGAGTGCACGGTGTGCAATGTTAAATTTCGCCACACATCTGGCTTGCGGAAACATCTCCGAGATCATACAGGCGACCTGGAGGTTGCTACCTGCGCCGTGTGCAACAAGACATTTGCTGACAGCTCTACTCTACGTTCACATGTCCTTGTGAAACATACAGAAGAAAAACTCTTTGAATGTACTGTGTGCCACAAACGTTTTGGAAGGCCTGACTATCTGCGTCTTCATCTCCGTGTCCATACAGGAGAGAAGCCTTTTGAGTGTCCCGTGTGTAAGAAAACGTTTGCCGCGAGGTACTCTCTGCGTTCACACATACTAACACACACAGGAGAAAAACCCTATGAGTGTAATGTGTGCGGCAAGAAGTTGACCCAATCCTCTCACCTGCGTGTGCATCTCCGCACCCATACTGGCGAGAAACCTTTCGAGTGTACCGTGTGCAGCAAGAAGTTTAATTCGCCGCAGTCTCTACGTTTTCATCTTCGAATTCATACAAACGAGAAACGTTTCAAGTGTGGTGAGTGCAACAAAATGTTCCGACATGAAGGCTCCCTACGTTCTCATCAGGTAACACACACAGGAGAGAAAGCTTTCAAGTGCCACATGTGCAATACATCGTTCACGCTACGTCAAAGTCTTCGTGTTCATCTCCGCCTTCACACTGGAGAGAAGCCTCACAAGTGCGCTGTTTGCAACGAATCGTTTGTGCGAATCGATTATCTTCGTAACCATATCAAAAAAGCCCATACAGGAGAGAAGACAGAGAGGTCTATTGGCTGTTCTATATGCAATAAGACTTTTTGTGATGGTGCTTCTCTGCGTAAGCATGTCCGAACGCACACTGGAGAGAAACCGTTCAGGTGCACCGTGTGCAACCAAAGGTTTTCGCAAAGTGGAAATTTGTACACACATCTAAAAAATCATATTTCTCGGTCTTTGAAAAAGACCAATGATTGAAGCGGTAGTTAATTAATATGAATTAATATAATTATATCATTATTACAATATGTCGCTGCAAAACTTATTAATTTATAACTCCAATACGTATTGGTGCACGTTTTGCACTGTCCTTTATAATTGTGTTGCTAAAGTTAAGTTCCATTTCCCTTTTAATTCCTAATGACATGTGAGTTAAAGTTGTTATGATTTTAAGTTTGTTTGAAGAATAATAAGATGTCACGAACTATATAATTTTTTCATCAAAAGAAATGTACATAAACTTAAATGTTAAATATATATATAATGTCCTTCAAATGCGCTCTGAATACTGTGCTCTGATTCTGATTTCCCTTTCGATGCATCATTAAGTCTTTTACAGGGTCTTCAGTTTGAAACTAGCCTGTCCTAGAGGAGCTGGCTGCTCTGTTGGACGTCCAGTAGCGTTGACACCACAATGCGACGCACCACAATGTTCCTCGCGTTAGATGACATCGGAAACTTGTCGCACACTTTTTGGCGTGTGAACGCCATTTGTACACAGAGGGAAAAGTGTGTGAATTTCAAGGGAAAATTCACATATTTACTCCTCTCTGTGTAGGAATGGGCATTTTCACACCTAAAAGTGTGCGACAGACCGCGCGCGCAGGTCGCCCTCCTCGGCCGGGCCGTGGGCCTGGCGCTGCTGGAGCGGTGCGCCGGGTGGCCTACGCCGCCGATGACAGGCTGAGGGGCTCCGCGCTGCTCGCTCTGCTGAGCCAGCCAGCCAGCGGTGCAGATGCACCCAGAAAACCGCATCTTTGGAGGAAAGAAATTTTATTTCCTGTAACAATAATTTCATTCCAGTAATTAAAATCACTTCTTTTTTGTTCGAGTACCGAAATTTTTAATTTAAGAGCCCAAAAGTCTGTAAAATTATCAGACAGTTTGGCTCATCTGAAGAAAAGTTTTCTTTCCTGCAACGAAAATGGTATTGGTAAGCAGAAAGATGCGGTTTTCTCAGTGCGCAGCTCCTTCGGCGTGAACGAGGACCGGGATTATCATAGGCCTTGCCTTATCAACCTGCGCTAAATTATTCTATGAGTATATGAAACCAATCGGCGTGGCCGAGTGTGGCCTTCGCGAGAACATCGGCTGTAAGAATAGCAGACGACGGACGCGGATTGGAGGTGGCGCTTCTGAAGCCCCTCAAACGGCTGCCCCTTCTCCCTGGAAGGTGAGAATTTCATTACCCAGCTGCGTACTAGCCACCCTCGTCTGCAGCCCCCCCCCCCCCCACCCCCCTCGAGGCCCCCACGGGCATGTGTAGCTCGCCTTTGAGTCTTTGCCGCCGAATTGTTCAGCGTGTACAGAGTGAACAGAGAGAGAGGGGGGAGGAGGGAGGAGGGAGTGGACACGGCAAAAGGTTGACGCCGGGCAAGAGTCTCCTGCAAATGCTTTCATATACGTACTTTAGCTCGCGCGACCGCAGAGGAGTTGCTGCGGACGGCTGCAGAGAGTATATATGACACATTCTTAAATGCGGCCGGCACGACGAGGCCCTGCGGTGGTGGTGCTACCCCCCGCGCTGAGGATTGTGGAGGGGGGGGAGGCAGCCGAGGTCTCCAGGAATTCGTAAAAGAATTGTGTGGAGTAGTAGTAGTCGTAGCAGTGGCAGCACGCGTCGCGGATGGGGCTCCAGAGTGTGTGCCGCTCCCGCCGCGAGTACTAATCTCCCTGATGACGGCACGCCCACGCCTCGCCGCTCCTCGCCCATCGCTTTTGTCAGCGCCGTATTGTCGCGCCACACCCCGCCGCGCCCCGCCGCGCCCCGCCGCGCCCCGCCGCGCCCCGCCGCGCCCCGCAGCGCCCCGCCGCGCCCCGCCCACGGTACGCCACTCTCGGTATTGTCGTGGATTCGGATTGCGATTGGGATTGGTGTCTGGCCGGATTGGTCCTCCCCCGCCCGGCCCCCGCC